CTTACCCCCCAGATAAATGCTGAAGAAATATCACAGAAAATTCCATGCCTAATTCTTTAAAGAGCTGTCCTTAAGTTTTCTAGGACCTGTTCTATTACTTGAGCCACATGTTGGCCTCACTCTCTGTTTCTCCCATTTGGAGTACTCTCTGTCCTCCCGCTCCTTGGATGGGGTTGACCAAATGCTCTGGGGGATCCCATGACTCAAGTCTGTGTAGTCTTTAGAGGCTCCTTGCTCAGGACCAAGTTCTGGAAGGGCTACATGGCAGACCAATCACTTCTACTGGGCAACATCATTTATACTTTTGAGCTTAGGTTAATGGAATGGTATCAGTATGCTGATTCAGAATAACTGAAATTGTTTAACAGAGTCAGGGGGACAGGGATTCTGTAAAACTTTTTTGCAGACCTCACACACCCTAAGAAAGGCTACAAGTATAACATAATAGTGCAGGGGACAATGCAAAGAGATTCTTCAGAGGAAGAGGGAGAATAGATATAATACAGGGATTAGTTAGATAAACTAATATCTGAGTGCCATCTGTTGAATGAAACCACCTAAACTCTGTGCTTATCCTTTTGGCAATAATATCGTTTAGCAAACAGTGACACAGAGAGGTTGCAAAAGAGCAGCTGTAAAGAAACACTTTTTCTTGAGCCATGAAGTCATGGTCAAATATCTGGCAAAAGTTGTCAGTAAACAGTAACCTGTCCCAAAAAGAGCCATCCAGGAGAGAGATAAAGAACACTCATTTCTCCTATATGTACTACTAATTGGAGACATTCACTTTGGTATACAAAATAAGTGCTAATATTTAGCATTTATTGATAATATGACAATGCGATTTCTTTATAATTGTTTTAAATCTACCTGAAGAGGGCCGGGAAGATGGCTCAGGAGAATAAGTGCTTGTTTGGCAAGCACAAGGGCCTTGAGTTCAATCCCCGGTTCTGCAAAAATCAATAAATCAATCTACCTGAGGATCGGAGAGAAGCACATACTGTAACTGTTCGCCAAATCTCAAACAGAAGACAGGCAATACATCAAGGGTGATTTCCACGGTGATGGAAGAGAGGCCTCCTTGCAAGCTCAGTGCCTCCCGGGGGCACACACGGGAAGGTAGAGCACAGAGCCCTGCCAGAAAGGCGGCAGCAAAGAGGACGGACACCGGAGCCAGAGTTTCCGGCTCCTAATCTGGGCCCAGCCACTTCCCACTTCAAGGGGGTTACGGATCCCTCAGTTTCCTCATAAGTAAAACAGGTATTGTAATGGTGCCTACTTCATAAGAGTTTTATGGAAAGGGAATGAGTTAACTCATGACAGGAACTTTGTGGCTGGCACGTCACACACACCCAGCATTAGTGGTCATGATGGTTTGTAAGTAGGGAAAGAAGCCAAAGTGCACCAATGTTCTAGTTTCTCAGGGAAGCCTTTTCTTTGCATTCCCTAACTTTCCTGGGTCTCCTTTCATCAACAGTGGGATTTCAGAATTTTGTGTTATTCTTACTGAAATCTGCCTAAGGAAATGGGCGATTATAATACTATATTTTAAAGGAAAAAAATCTAAAAGTCTTTTAAATTTACCTCTTCATTTTCACTCAATTCCCTCTCTGCAATCTTTGCTTTGTCTATGCCATTCCTCCTCTTTTTGTTCTTCATCATTTGACCTGAGTTCTTGATACCTGACTTTTGGGGAACAGGGGATTGAACTCAGACCCTTGCACTTGCTAGGCAAGCCCTTGTTCTACTGAGCCATCTCCTGGGCCTGATATGTGACTTCTTTTCAGGATTTCTTAAGGTGGATGAATCTTTTCCTCATTGGCCTGAAGTAGATGTTGCATATAGAATCTTTTTTTTTTTTGATGGAATTTTCTAGATATCTCAAATAAATTTGGGAAAACACACTTAACCAAAATGCAGTATGTCTTCTGTAAGAACACTGACCCTGTGGAATGCAAATATATTTCTGTTCTACGAAGTCAGTTTCCCTCATGTATTGCTGAGTATGAGTTGCTTATGCAAGGTATGTTTCCTGCTTCCTGATTTGCTTTCTTCATATCAACAATTCATTCCATACCTAATACAACACAATACCTTCACCAATCTCATCAGTATCAATTTTCAGTACTGTGATCACTCCAAAATAGCCAATCACCCCTCCCTCCCTCCTGTGACTCTCTCTTATCTTTATTTCTAGTGCCCAACATCATTTGATATTTATTTTTGCATGTTCTTTGCCTTTTCTTATGGGAGACTGAAGGACTTACACTATTATTATTATTTTTTTTTTACTGTTCCTCTCTAGTACCCAGAATAGTAACTGGCCTAAAATTTTTGACTGGATAAGTGAATTATAATCATGTGCTTCTTATTAGTACTTTCAAAACTTTTGCTTTTTAGGTAATCATATAAGATGGGATAAAGAATTTGCAGAAAATGATCACAGTCCAACGTGGCTACTAGGTACTGAGTCCTATCACCATCTCTCCATGGTAGTGGGATGTTTTTGCTTTGTAAGTATCTTGATAATGATATCTTCATTAAGAAAGGCATTTTTTAGAAAATGTATTTAAGGAAGCATAATATTTAATTAACATTCTCAAATACCTGACATAAGCAATTTACAGCCTAAGGAGGAAGAGTCTATTTTGCTTCTCAGCTTCAGAGGGTGGGTTCAGTCAGTGATGGGTGGCTCCACTGTTCGGAGTTGATTCTGTACTGTGGCGGGACAGTAGCTGCATATGTGTTAAGGAAGAGAATCAACCTCTTATAGGTCCTCCTTGGAAAGACTGGGGTTTGGTCCGATGTGACCAAGTTTTTCTTTTAGACCCAGCAAAGCTACTACACCAGTGCTCTGGAAGTGGAGGCCAGAGCAGATGGCACATTCCAGTCCATTCTGGGAGACTTAGGAAGTTAACAAGACCTTGTCTCAAAATTAAGAGTGAAAAAGGGCTGAGGAAATAGCTTAGCGTGGAGGCCTTCAATCTTAGGTGCAATGCCCAGCGCCAACGATAAGTAAATAAATAAAATAAATGGTGCAGACATCAGTTTGTACTCAAAGGGGCAAAGTTCAATTTTAGCCCTTTTAGAATTTATTATCACTGGTACTGGAAATTGAACTCACAACCTCGCACGAGCCAAGTTTTGTGCCACTGAACTATATCCCTAGCCTTGGCCTTTTTTTTTTTTTAAATCATAATTTTGTTGTTCAATGTTCAGTGCTGGCTGTTGGTCATCTATGCATTGGTCCCTTAGGATCCATGGGGGGATTGATTCCAAAACTCCTGTTAGAATCCAAGGAGTCCCCTATATAAAATGGCAGTGTGGTTTCAGATAGCCTACATGTATCGTCCCATGCACTTAAAATCAACTCCAGATCTCACGAATACCTAATACACTGTAAATGTTACGGAAGTAGTTGTTGATGCCGTGCTGTTCAGGGAACAACGAGAAGGAAAATAAGAAGGCTATAAATACCCACTCTACTGGCTAATTTTGGTTGTCAGTTTGACTGCGCTGAGGCACCTAGCAGATGCCCGGCAGATGCCTGGCAGCGCTGGGTGAGTCACAGGGTGTGGACGCTCTGTCTGCTGCCTGGCCACCTCCTCCTTGGGCTCCAACCTTCTGCTTTCACCAAGTCCTTCCTCTGTGGAGTCAGCTCACCCATGACCTAAATCTCTGAAACTGTAAGCGCCAGTAAAACCCTCTCTTTACTTTGTGGGTATCAGGGAAGCTGTCCAACACTAGTTATACATGAAATTTCTTTTTTTTTTTTTCTTTCTTTCTTTTTTTTTTTTGTAGTTTAGGGGAGGGTCTACAGGGTGTTCAGGGTCTCACTACTAGATCGGACTCCTAGTGATCCGCTTGTTTACAGCCTCCCAAGAGCTGGGATTACAGGCGTGTGTGCCACCACGCAGTTTCAATCTCTGGCTCAGGGCGCCCCGGGGGCGGGGAGGGGCCAGTACAGCAGGCTCAGGATCGAACCCCTGGCCCCTGCATCTGCCTAAGCAGGAGCTTTAATCGCTGAAGTATTTGGCCAGCCCATGAAATTTATAAAAAAATATTTTCCATCTGTGATTGTTTGGATCTGTGCGTGTGGAGTTCCCACATGTGGAGAGCGGGCTGTATTAGCATCCAGGCTTAGGTGCTTTGGGGCTCAGCAAACGGTTTATGCTTAATTACTTCAGGTTCATATTACGAGGGTAATTATACAATAAACAGTATTGAAACAATAATGGAGAAATCTTTGTTACAGTGTTCCTTAAAGAGAGCCGTAACTTTCGAACACCACCAGGTGGGACAACCAGGGCTCCAGAGTCATTTTTCCAACCACTCTCCTCCCTCTTACTTTACCGTCTCGTCCCGGTCGGGTCGACTCTGGGCCGCAAGCCCATCCTTTTTGGGCCCCTGCAAGCATTAGTAGCCCAGCCTGCAAGAGTTAGGGAGAAGCATGCTCTACCGCAGTGTGGCTGAGAAGACTTGAGCGTCCTCTCGCGGGGAGCGGGGAGCGGGGAGCGAGGGGTGGGGAGGGTGGGTCTGAGACTCCGGGCTTAGAAACCTACTTTGAATAAGAACCTTAGGTGATATAAATTCGATCCCTTCGGGCCCCTTCTAGGAAACTGAGGCCCCAAGCAGCGGCCACTGAAGTCTCGGTGGTGGCCAAGGGCCCTGAGGGATACCTGCAATGGCTTCGTTTCGGGGGGAGATGGAGCTTGTAGAGGGCTTGCTTTTCCAGCCGCACGGCCGCCCGCCGGGGCGCTCATTTCTGCAGGGCCAGCGTGGCGGGACCCAGCGGCTGGACCGGGCAGGTGGGGTGGATGGCTCAGGTCTGCCGAGAAAACTTGGGGCGGAGCTTCATGGGGCCCCCCCACTGCCCTCCTCCGCGTTCCGAGTCCCCAGTGGGCGGATTTTTTCTGCGCCTTCTCGGAAGCTGCAAATGTCACAGCCCCAAGCCGATTGGCTGGTGGCGGTCACGTGCCTTTCCCGGGTTTCAGATTGTTTGGAGTGAACCGGGAAAAGTGAGCATGGCCAGTCGGAATCAGAAATTGCTTGAACTGGTGGGACCTCTGCTCCCGCGCAGGGACCAGGAGGAGGAGGGAGATGACTGTGGGACGGAGGAGGAAGAGGAGGAGGGGGAAGAGCAGGAAGACACCGAGTTCTTGGATGCCGAGGAGCTCTGCAGCGGCGGCTGCAAGGCTGGCGGCCTCCCCGGGCGCCGGCATGGTGAGGCGGCGGAGCCCGGCCCTGCGGGGATGGGGTTGGAGGGTGCAGAGGCGGGTTCCCCGGACTGTCCGGAGCGGGGCACCCTGGGTGCTGCAAATAGACTTACTTTGGGATGACCTGGAGGTTTCATGTTACTTAGGATAAAGTAACATTAATAGCAGTGACAGAGCATATACTCTGTTTTAGGCATATACAAAATTTAATGTTAAGTCATGTGGGGATACTTTTACAGTTGAGGAAATAGTGGATGTAGCTCTAATATTCCTACCCAGCGTCAAGATTTTTGGTGTTTACCCTATTCTGCCTGGAATCAAACGTGTGTGTGTGTGTGTGTGTGTGTGTGTGTTTTTATATTTGTACATGGTTTCAGTTTGTGTAGTTTACAGTCGTGTTAGGGAGTGGTTCTATGTATATATTGCAGTATGGGTTTTTCTTTTTTCTGCCTCTTCTTCCTCTTTTTCTTTCTCCTCCTTCTCCCTCTCCTCTTCACTTCCTCCTTCTTCTTCTCCTCCTCCTTCTCCCTATTTCCCCTTTCTTCTTCTTCCTACTTTCCCTTCCCTCTCCCAAGAAAGGAAGGACCTCTGCACTTGCAATGCTGAAGGAGGATTGCTGCCAGCTCAAGGCCAGCCTGGGCTACAGAGCAAGTGCAAGGCCACCCTGAACTACATAGCAAGACCCTATCTCAAAAAACAAAAACAAAAACAAAACAAAAAATAACCAAAACAAACAAACAAACAAACAAAAAAAAAAAAAAAGAAAGAAAAGAAAAGAAAAGGAGAGAAAGAAAGAAAAGAAAAGAAGAGGGCCAGGGAGATGGCTCAGTGGAATAAGTGCTTCCCTGGCAAGCACAAGGGCCTGAGTTCAATTCCTGGTTTAAAAAGAGAGAGAGAGAGAGAGAGAGAGAGAGAGAGAGAGAACAGGAAGAAATCACAAGACACACCTCATCACCTCATTGTTTCATTGTTTTTTTAACCTTATTTTAATAGCCTAGTGATTTATGTTAACTTTGTGTAGTTTTCTGTGCTGTCAGTTATACCTGTTGTGTGGACATTGTGACTGGAAAATAAGTATTTTTGTTAGGGTAAACTGAGACACAGTTGAGACCACTGAGGCAGGCAGAGCTTAAGCAATGTGTGAGAATTTATCGCAGACCAGGTGCAGCTGCCCAGCCAAGGGCAAAAAGAGAATTGGCCCCAAGCAAGGGGCAAGAGCATGTTTTATAGGAGAGTTTAGGTGGGAGAGGAGGGCATTGCTGAAGGAGGGTGCAACATTTTGGTTCTCTGAGCAGGGGGTCTCAGGCTAGCTAATAGGGTGCCATGGGGTACAGGGACTGCTGGCAGGCACAGCTTGCCTCTTGTGGCATTTGTGCAATCAGTTCTTTGCAGGTTGAGCTGGCTGGGGCAGCTGCTGGCCTCCTGCTGAATGCAGTGCCCCAGAAGCTGTGAGTAAGAGCTCTGCTTAGGGAGTTTTGCTGTCCTAGCTGGGTTGAAGTCTAGTTCAAAATCCTGACAATTTTTATATGCGGCGGGAGCTGTCCAGTAGGGCCCTGCTTGATGATGGCAGTGTTGTATGTTTGCAATGTCCAGCGCAATAGCTGCTAACCATGTGTGGCCGCTTAGAACTTGAAATGCACCGAGTATAACTGCGCAGCTGAAGTTTCAGTTTTATTTTATTTTAATTTAGATATAAATGGCTAAAGGGCCGTCAAGATAGCTCAGCGGACTAAGTGCCTGCTTAGGCAAGCTCGGGGCCTGGGGTTCGATCCCTGCACCAGGCCCGCCCCAAGGGCGGCCTGAGCCAGCCACTGGGAACAGGTGCAGTGGTGCACGCCTGTTATTCCAGCACTGGGAAGGCTGAAAACAGGAAGATCACTATGAGTCCGAGCTGTGTAGTGGGACCCTGTACCAAATACATAAAAAAAGAAAATTAACTATGTGCAGGTCAACAGTGCAGGTATAGACAGAAAAAATTTCCCATATTTGTGGAGAGTTTTAGTTATTCTGTCTGAAATACTACCAGCTGGTTGTCCTGTTCCAAGTGTATGGTGCAAAGATGTCCCAGAAGGGTGAAACCATCTTAATGAAGCACATCTTCTAATGAGTAAACAGGTATTTTTTATTGAGAGAAATAAATACAAAGAATACTGCATAATGCTTTGACTGATTATATTCAGGAGACTTAGGCAAGGCTATCCTGAGAAAGTGACAATTAAGCAGAAAGCCGAAGCAAATGGAGGAATATGGTAAGACAGTTGTTCCCTTGGAACAACTTGTACAAAGGCCCTGTCGTGAGAGGCACTGTAGAATGTTTTTAAGACCTGGCCTCGAACCAGTATTGGCCGAGGCTAGAGCAGCAAAGAGAGAACTGGTGTTAGAAGGGGAACAGCAGACATTTTTAATGTACTGTGCTTCCCTTTTGGAACACAAAGACGAGTGAAGCATTGTCCTCCTATGGACAGCTTGCTGCATGCTAGTAGAGTGAGATAAGCAGGTAGATAGATCAAAGCATTAAGATTCTCTAGTAAATGTCTGTGTCGGGTGCTGTGGGGGTCGCTAGAATGGTGGGTGTGATAACACACTGGGGAAGAACACGTTTAGTCTTTTAAATTAACTTCTTTTCTTTTTTCTTAGTTATAATTCACGATGAAAACACTCAAAAGCAATTTAAAGTGTTTGGACGTTTCCCAATAACTGGTCCTTGGTGGCGAGTGAAGGTTCAGGCAAAGCCTGCAAGATCAAAGATCTATCAAGTTCAAGGATTTCCATCATATTTTTTACGATCCGATCTGTCACCACCCGATCAAAACTCAATCTGTGCTCTCTTTCTTAAAGAGTGTGAAGTACCCCCCGAGGAGGTAAAACAGTTTCTAGCGTGGGTAACAAAAAAAGCATCCAGCTATGAAGACCTAAGATTTGAAAACCTTAAGGAAACATTAAGATCTTTCTACCAGGAAATCAGAAAGAAAGATAAAAAGCAATTTGGACAAAATGAACAACAAGAATTATTACCAGGAAATGAAATAAGACTTCCTATGGAACATCGAAGTAAGTAGGATTCTGTCATTGAGTTTTAGTATAGTTGAAATTTTTTAATGGCTGGAGTGTTTAAGACATTACCCTTATTATATTGTGGTCCAGGATACGTTGTACATCTGTGAAAATCGGAAATTGTCCCAAATCTGAAACTTTCTGATCTTTGACTTGGACACTGCTTGATGATTCAATTTGCACATACTTTGTTTCATGAACAAAACTATCAAAATGTTGTGTAAATTCACCTGCAGGTTATGTTTTTGTAGTATGAATGAAAAATAAGTGAATTTCACCTACAGACTTAGATCTCCGTTCTCAAGGTATCTCATTATATATGTGAAAATATTCTGAATTCTAAAAAAATGCAAAGCCCTCAGTATTTCTAGTCAAAAGCATTTCAGATAATCAACCTGTTTTACTTCTGCAAATCAGTGTGATGAATGTGTGTTTATGCTGCTTTTTGAGAAAATCATGGGCCTTTCAGTTTCAGTTTCCTTATCAGTAACATGAAAGGATTTTCTAAGGTGCACTTTATAAAGACTCATCCTTGGGGCTGGTGAGATGGCTCAGTGGTCTAAAGCACCTACTTAGAACAAGCTTAGCAAAGCTACAGGGACTGCAGTTCAATCCCCCAGCACCACATGCCAGCCAGCCCTGCCCCCTGGTGGGCTGAGCTGGCCACACACACACACACACACACACACACACACAAAAAAAAAAAAAAAAAGACTCATCCTTTTCCCTCCCAACTCTAACATGGTGAGTCTGTACCTCTCTTCCTGATGTTTATGTTCAGAGAAAGTATTTTTAATGGTTAAAAATTCAATTTTCTTTTTAAAGGAAGACAAGAGAAAGGCAAGGCAAAGGAGCAAACCATTTTGAAAAGATTTGAATCCCAAATTATTTGAAATAAGTTTAAAATATGGTTTGTCAATCTGGACCCTGGATACATATGTAGAATACTAAATTTCTTAGTTACATGGGATAAATTTACTAGCATATGAATAAATGACCAGAACAGAATAATCATAATTACAGTTTGAAAAGTGGCTATTACATAGGTTAGTACATAAATGATTTTTTCTTTCTTTCTTTTTTTTTTTTTTTCTGTACCAGGGATCAAATTCAGGCCCTTACATTTGCCAGGCTGGCTCTTATGCCGCTGAGCTATCTTCCCAGCCTGATTTTTTTTAATGTTTAAATTTATTTTTATATAACTGAGCTACAATTTTATTCTGATTATTTTGTGAATGAAAGGAAACAGAAGACATTTAAAAGACATACATTTTGGTGTTAAACAATGAAAAATACTTCAGTACAAAAATAAATGTCATTGTATCAGTTTTCTTATTGTTTAAAAAGTAAATTTCTTAATGTCTGTTTAACTTGTATTTCTTGAACTGGTTTGCTAAATGATCAAGTATTTCATTCTGTGAACTAAATTTTATGTTTTAATTTTTTTTCTGATATCCCTAGTTCCATTTATAAATGTCATGAATGCTTTGAACTATCCAAAAATCATGGAATTCCTTCTAGCCCTCCTGCCTCGACACTTTAACCAGCTTATCACCACAGGTTCTAAAGAGGTATTAGAAGCAATTGAAAAAATTTTAGGTACACAGCCATGGAAGCTGGGCTTTAGTAGGGTAAGTAAGACATTTGTTCAGTATTTTGCAATCTTATATAAAGCAGAGTTTCTCAACTTGGACAAAGATTGTGTTTGTTTCCTTCTTTTTTTGGTGGTACTAAGGATTGAACTCAGGACCTTGTACTGCCAGGCAAGTGCTTATTCCACTGAGCTATCTCCCAGGCCCATTAGTTTTGTTTTTGAGTCAGGGTTTTGTATGTATTTCAGGCTGGTCTTGAACTCCTGGTGATCCTCTCGCCTCAGCCTGAGTGCTAGGATTACAGGTGTGCACCACCACACGTGGCTAAGTTTGACAATTTTTGCATCTTTTTCAATGAAAAATTTTTGTATGGCTCCCCCAGGTGCTTACTTTTGGTGGAGCATTACAAGTAAACACATGTAAGTACATAGGTCTGTACATGAAAACCAAAACAATAAAATGGAGGATATTCAGGTTATTACAATTATCCAGTTTAATTTAATATGACAGACATTTTTCTGCCACTAAATTTTCATTTGTAACTCATAGAGATCTCAAGGTGACAAAAATTCTTACGAGATTGATATTTTCTGCTGCTATACAATACAGGTTCCTACTTTTCAATATCAACTTTTAAAAACTGTTGTTATTTGTATAGAATATCGTGAGATTTGATTTTTGATGGCATCCTCACATCATTTACAACTGAGTCTGCTTCTGTTGTTATCGGAGACCAGCAGTAAGAACGTCGGTCAGTCTGGGGCTCTCGATATTGAAACCAAATATGGTACTCAAACCTGGGCAGGACAGTACTTGAGGGAAGGCAGTTTTCCAAGTGAAAAGCATTGAGACACTCTGTGGCCATTATTGGACTCAAAAATAGTTACAGGAACCCAGTTTGCTGAAACGCCGAACAGTTTGTTGCTCACATAGTATTACTATATATTCACCGTACTTTGAAAGATAAGATTAAGCCAGGCATGTTGGTGCATGCCTGTAATCCCAGCACTTAGGAGGCTGAAGCAGGAGGATCTCTGTGAGTGTGAGACCAGTCTGGGCTACAAAGTGAGTTGAAGCCCAGACTGAGCTGCATAGTGAGACTGTTTCAAAAAGACAGACAGACAGAAAGACAGACAGACACAAATAAATAAACAAAGAAAAGATTCTTAAGCATCAGGCTGTCATTTAGTCCATGTAGATAAGGGATGGACAACTACAAAATCAGAGGCAGACAACAGTTTACCTTTTGGTTAAAAAAAAAAAAATCCTTGCAAAATGAAACATTTTTTTCTAAATAAAAGATATTAAAAGGAGAACTTTAGAGATTTAAACAAATCATACCTGCCCACATTTCTAGAATAAAATATTTATAAAATTAATGTATTACTCATACAGATACTTCTCTCTTAAGGACATAGTTTAGTTCCTACAAGTAGGATGTTGAGTGAATTCTACATTAAATGAAGAATTGTATATACAATGTACAATATTCAGAACAAAAATAATGGTCAACGTACACACCAACTTGATGATTTTCCTTTTATTTGTGTAACTTATACGCAATATAAGAGTATATATAATTATATATATATCTATATATAATTTTTAAAATGTACTTGGTACAGGGTCTCACTACGCAGCATGGACTTGTAGTGGTTCACTTGACTCAACCTCTCCAACGCTGGGGTTACAGGCACACGCTCCACCACACCCAGTCTCTGTGGCTGGCACTACGTGCCTGGGGGCGAGGCCGGTGTGGCATGTGGTGCCGGAGATAGCACTCCAGTCCCTGTGCTTGCCTAAGCAGGTGCTTAGTCCACTGAGCTGCCTCGCTGGCCCTAATAGTTTAATATATAACAGAACATGAAACTAAAACACCATACTGTATTGTACAGTCAGCAAAAATTATAGTGCTATATAAACAAGGGATACTGTACAAAAAAGACATGGAGGCTCCTGTACAGAACTGTTTAGAACAATGAAACAAAGGATGGGTTATAAGTTTGAGCAGCAGCTAATTCCAAACAGCCTGGCTTAGTTGTAAGTTGAAACAGGTCATTAAGTGAGAAATACCTGCATATGAGTATCTTCCCTCAAAATTTAGTTGAAATACGAATTTTCTCAGCCTTAATTATTAAAAACAAATAGTTTTAGTGTAATTCTAGTAATATTTGTCAATATTTATATAATATTTATAGGACAGCTTGCACTGTATTTTCTTACAGGTAACTTACAGAGAGTTGAAGCTTCTGCGGTGTGAGGCGAGTGGGATGGCGTTTTCTCAGTGCCCGTCTCTTCTTGAGTTGATGACTGATGTGGAGAAAAATGCCCTGGATCTGTATTCTAAACTGAAGCACGTGTGTAGGGAAGATGGGCACACATATCTTGAAAAAGTGTCCTTAACTTTAAAAGTGCATTACGATGTTTGGCAGTCCCTGGAGTTTCTCAGGGATATTGGTGTGGTGACATTCGTGAAGGACTGCGTCTCTCTCTATGAGCTTTACCAGGCAGAAAGCATCATTGCCTCGTTAGTATGTGACCTCATGATGAAACCCCCGTGGCATTTGGATGTCGATGTCAGGAAGGTGCTGGCGTCTATTCACACCACGAAACGCCAGGACTCTGGAAGCAAGGACGCACCGAAGGAGAGTAACCCTGATGAGACAAGCTTAGACAACTCTATAGACACTTTGGAACTTCAGGACAGGGGTGAAGAAAATGATAGCAATGCAGAAATGAAGGAAGTCCAGCTGGATCAGGATCAGGTGGCTGCTCTGGAAATGATTTGCTCCAATGCTGTGACAGTCATTAGTGGCAAAGGGGGCTGTGGAAAGACCACGATTGTGAGCCATCTTTTTAAGTACATAGAGCAGTTAGAAGAAAGAGAAGTGAGGAAAGCGTGTGAAGATTTTGAACAGGATCAGGATGTCCCAGAAGAGTGGATGACCTTTACTGGCCAAGGTCAACTGGGAGCAGACAAACCTATAGAAGTTTTGCTGACAGCACCTACAGGGAAAGCCGCTGGTTTACTGAGAGAGAAAACAGGTCTTCTTGCTTACACCCTGTATCAGGTAAAACCTTTGGCCTTCTGTCTGCAGATAAACTTATGCTTACTTCAACGGCCAGTAGGTACAATATTCCCCCTTGTGGATAATTTTGGTTTCTGCATTTTCACTAACTTGTTGTCAACTAAGATTGGAAAATATTAAGCAGAAAGTCAATGTTCACAAGTTTTGTTTTTTTATTTATTTTTTATTTTTTGCAGAACCAGGGATTGAACTCAGGCCCTTGCGCTTGCCAGGGAAGCACTTATTCTGCTGAGCTATCTCCCCGGCCCCATCACAAGTTTTAAATTGGTCTGAAATCTCACGTTGTCCCACCTTGTTGCACTTGAGTTGGAAGGAACCTCTTTGTCCAGGGTATCCGTGCTAAATGCGCTACCTGCTTGTCTGTCTGTCAGATAGACTGTCACAGCTCACAGTGCTTACTTATAAGGTTTGGTGCTATCTGTGGTTCTGGGCATCCACTGGGAACTTTGGAACATGTTCCCAATGGTTTAAGAGGGACTTCTGTATAATCATTTAGGTCCTTTATTCAAAACAGCTGGACTATAGGCTTTCTTCATTGAGAAAATTCTTAGGGCTGAAAAATCTGTCAGGTAAATGAAAATACATGCTTAATAGTCTAGTTAATTTAGATCCTGGCACACTATCGATCTCTCAAGGGGACAGTTTACAAGCATTGGAACATGCCCACAGACTGTATTCTGAATAACACCAGAAATAGAAGTAAAAGACTGTAGAGTGAAAACCTCTATAGAGATGAGCAATTGAGTCATGTGGTCTGGTTCATTATCTTTTCTACCTAGAATGGTGTGGAGCATATAGTTCCGTGCTGTATCTTCCAAATGAATTTATATGTTTGAAAAATATTATTGTCTCTGATTAAGAGTAATAGAGCTTTGACTTGTGAAGAGTTGTAGTTTTATGTACCCCTGACCTACCACGTTATGATAAAGGGACCTGGTAGTTGGAAGGTTTCTGTAATATTTCACAGTGACTCCGGTGGAGAGAAGGGCATTTTATTTAGGGGAAAGCCTTTCCAGAGGCTCTGAGGGAAGTGATCCCAATAGGTGTAGGAACTGTTGAGGTGATTTTATTGATTGCAGTGAAGTCTGTGCATTTCACAATAATGGAAATTAAGCTTGGCTTAAACAGGAAACACCAATTTTAAAGTTAGTAAAAAATGTTTTGATACTATCTTATTAAATCCTTGATAAACCAGTAGGTAGGTGATGTGATCCTTTTTTTTTTTTTTTTTTTAATAGAAGAGCCAGTCGAGGTTTTGGGGAGCCTTAGAGGGTGTTCAACAACTGGTTGAGAGCTCCGTTGGCCCAGAACTAGAATTTGAATTGACAGTTCTGATCTCCCAGCCGGTTGTTTTCTCACGGCGCCACAATTTCTTCCTTTATCACAGACTTTGCATAACAGTGCTGTCTGAAATGGATGAGACCTAACTGTTTTATTTGGGAGCCATTTAGGTTCTTGAGCAAGATAAAGTAGTTCTAAGGAAGAGTGCATAGAATCTAAGAGCCTTCAATCACTCAAAAAGAGTCTTGGCATTATTTTTATTTATCACAAAAATGAATGGAGGCCGAGAAGTATTCTGTATAGCTTTGCGGAGGAAGAGTCTACTGATTGGCTTTTGCTTTTTTGCAGTCTGCCTTCATGTCTGATTGGTCTGAACGATTAAAGGAGAAGGGAAGAGACCTGGGAGGGATCCTTAGTAAGTTCTATCTTAATCCATCAACTCTGATCCACTAGTTGTATCTTAGTATTTATTTAGAAGTTGAGAGAACTTTTTTTTTTTGTCTTTTTGAGACAGGGTTTCACTCTGCAATTCAGACTGGCCTTGAGCTCACCTTTCGCTCAGGCTGACCTTGAACTCTCAGTGATCCTCCTGCATCAGCCTCCTGAGTGCTGGGATTACAGGCATGTGCCAGCACTCCCGGTCTGAGAAAACATTTTTGAAGCTCCATTAAGGGCCAAGAGAAAGAGTTAACAGCAGAGGAAGAGCACTAGAATGATATTTATTTCACTTATCATCCTTGAACCACCAAGTGCTGGGATTACAGGCATGCACCACCATGCTTGGTTTCTGGCCCTCCCCACCCCCCATGGCATGCAGTACTGGGGATTGGATTCTGGTCTTTTTTTTTTAAGTACCAGGGATTGAATTTAGGACACTGCGCTTGCCAGGCAAATGCTTATTCTGCTGAGCTATCTCCTCAGACCCTGGATTCTGGTCTTGCACTTGCCAGGCAGGTGCTTACACCACTGAGTGATCTCCCCAGCCCTATATAATTTTTAGTATAACTCTGTACTAAATATTTCATATAAAACATTACTAAAAGCCATTTGTCCCTATCTGAAGTTCAAATTTAACTGAATATCTTGTATTTACCTTGGCAATCCCATCTTAGGCTAGTGTGTGAGGAATCCTCTCTAGCAGGCTATTGTAATCATCAGGATACTCATAGATGGGGCCAGTACTGAGTTGCTAGTATTTGGAATGCAGTGGAAATTATAAGTTCTAAAGTAACGATATGTACTAAGTAAAAAAAAGGAGACAATCAGAGGTATTTCCAGATGTCCTGTTGTGAGACAAGACCATTAAGAAAATGGGGCTTTTGTTTGAGGCAATTGGCACATTGGAATGGTAAATACACAGATTTTACTTAGTGAAAATATTGGATCTAGCTTTAGTAGAAAAATTAAAGGTATGATATGTTGCAGTGCCATTTAAAAATGATTCTATGTATATAACCATACCTAGGATATAGAATTATTTCTGGAATCCCACAGGATTTTTTTCCGCCCCCTGCGGAACCGGGGATTGAACTCAGGCCTTTGCGCTTGCCAGGGAAGCACTTATTCCACTGAGCCATCTCCCTGGCCCCTATTTCTGGACCATTATATACTACAATGTTTAATGTTCTCTGATTCCAACTTTATAGTTAATTTTTCCTAATTTCTATTTAAAAATAGCATTAGTTCTATACTAAATGGTGTTAACAGTTGAACTATTGCTGGTGGTAATCTTTAAAACATGGAGGTCAGAAGTTTAGAATACTTGGAGGAAAAGGTAATATTTTCATAATTAAGTTAAGAAGGCAGCTCTTTATTTCCAGAGTAGAATAATATTGTTGAGAGACGAGAAGGTGGAAGGGCTTGGAGTGTCTCAGAAGGCCAAGAGATTTGTGGGCAATGGAAAAGAATGGGGAGAGTGTATGCATAACAATGATAGGAGTGTTGAGAGTTTTGTGATGGAATTATATTTGAAACTGAATAAATGACACATTTGGGAAGCAATTGGTTGAACTTTCTGATCCTTGTTTTTTAGGCTTATTTTTTTGTATAGAAAAATACGGAAAGATCCATCTTTCTGTATATGTGTCCCTAAAATGTTTGTGTTCTCAATTTCTTCACCTTTTCTCTGGGCTTCTGTACTCCCCACCTCTTCTTACTGCATGTACAAACATTTTATTTAAAAATAACGTGCTGCTAATTATTTTTTGTAACTTGACTTTAGATATGCCTTATTATGCTTGTACATCAATTATAGCTTCCATTTTTGCTTTTAGGTCAATTATAGCTTCTATTTTTGGAAAAATATGAAGAACGATAAGCCGTGGAAATTTTCTTCAGTTACAGTTCTGGTTGTGGATGAAGGGAGTTTAGTATCGGTAGGAATCTTCAAATC